TCCAAAATAAAAACCAAGTGTTTAAAACACTTATTTGATGTATTTGGCTAAGAAATTAAGTAAGACACTTTAAAAACCACGTCATTTGAGGGAAAACCACAGCTAGCCAAGTTCATGCCGTTTTGAATGATTTTTGTCAAACGACCAAAAGCAAAAGATGGTTTTCAAAGTGTTTTTGTTGGAGAACCGTTTAATCATGCCAAAGAGTGAAAACTAATCATAAAAAGTTGAAAACCACTCGGTTGGTTCGGACGCCAAAAACCATAGCCGATAACCGAGAGCCGAACGCCGGTTTCTGAAACCCGAACGCTGGATGGCTTGGTTTTTGGTTTGGGCGAACACCAAGTGTTTTTAATGACTTAAACAAATTTGAAAAACATTTTTATGATGTAAGAAGTGCAGTGAAAGGTTTTAGCCTAAAGAGCCAATGCGTGAGGGTTGGGTCGGTCTTGATTACAATTATGACCGACTCAACAATACTAAAGACTGCGGTCTTCGTTCTTGGTCTCTTTTAGCTCTTGTTCTTTATCTTCGTTCTTCGCCTTGTATATTCAATGTTTGTCTTGATCACGACGGTTTGGCATTATAAAAACCTGTTACAAAAAAACGAACACGGCTTTAGTACGAAAACGTGACATGCCCGTGTTTCAACAGTTCCTCCAATTCTTTTCCGAGTAGGAACTCCAGGTTCAAGTTTCACATCCAATTCATGGCATGTGAACTCTTCTACTCCTTCTACAATCACAATATTTACATTACTAGTCAAGGTAGGAAAAATTTCCATATTTGGTTCGATTTGGACTCTGTACATTGGCTGGTAGAATCTTTTCCCAGGCTGACGAGTACAAAAACTCAAGGTTTGTTTAAATTTGATGAGAATAGAGCTCTAGAGATATGCCTTGAATCAAACCGAAAAGGGAAATTCATTCGTATTGCTGAGGATCGAAAGGAAGGTGTGTCTTTTCTATTGGTGCCGTTTAGGGATAATGGTGATGGGTTTAAGCTATTTTATAAGGTGTTGCACTCTTTCCTTGAAAAGATACCGGCTTAGTAGTTAGCCGTTATTTTAATAAAAATAAACATAATATTTATTTACCCTAAAATATGAATTATTTGTAAAGTTATCCGTTTCAAATGAAAATTGAGTTTTCAGATAGATCTCGTAAAACGGTGACCAACGGTATATGGTTCGTTAAATTTGGATATGCGTATAAAGCGTGGTGAGTAAAATAGACATTACAATTCAATAAATAAATGTAAAGATTTATAATAATATAATAGCAATATTAAAAATGGAGTATGCACGTAATATACTCCTAGTTATAATTGGAAAGCCCAACTGCCTCTCTATATAAATTCATATACGGAGTCATTGGTTCTGCGGCAAATTACATCTATACGGAGTTATTGTTTGCTGCCGCGAGAGAGACGAAGAACCGCCGTGCCGCCGCCACTGGGATCGCCGGAACCAGCACTCAACACCGCTGCCGGTGCCCGTGGTCTCAGGGAATGGACGCTGCCACTGTTTCGTCTTCTCTGTTTATCTATTTCGTTTAAGTTCGTCAGACTATTGAGGTCAGAACTTGCACATCTAACGCTAGATTATGTATATAAATTTGAAATTCACGTTCGTAGTTTCGTATGATTGATTACGTGGTTTATTTGTTTATAATTAAATTATGATTTATTCGTATATTATGATTTATTGAAATTGATGAATCGATGGAGAATGAGGTACGTTTTCTACCCCTAGTTACGTGATTATGTGTATCATTAGCCCTGTGGATTTTTGTATTGGTTGTTAATTGACGAATCAACAAAGCATGCCCTGTTTTTTTGCTAAATTTCCGACTTACTGTGCGCTAAAGGAACCAAACGGCACCAAGGTACCGGTCGACGGTACCGAAGTACCGTACCCAACCCCCGTAGCTCTGCGTTGATGCCGGTAACTGGAACCAGCGGTATGCCAGTACCGTACCGACGGTACCTAGGTACCGCCTGGCGGTACCGAGGTACCGTACCGACAGCTGCAGTTTCCATTATTTGACTCTTTGACCCGATTTGGAACCCGAATTGACTTTGAAACCTTACGTGTTGCATGCCGGTAAATGGAAGGTGTTTACACTTGACATTAGGCCGCTATTTGGATTGCATGATGATTTTAGCTACTTCTACTCTCTTGATTTATTGTATATGTGGTGTGATATGCCTTGAACGGATAAAGTAAATTGAGGTTGTTGTTGGCTTGGATCTGAATAATTAAAGTGGGTTGGTGACGTAGGTTACCTAGAAGAACTTTAGGACTACTTTGTGAGAATTGAGATTGTGAGGTGACAATAGGTTGTAGAGCCTTGTGGATTTAGTCCAGTGGCATTTGGGTAAAGATGTACGTACATGGAATCTGGGATCTGATCCGTAGGATTGGAGGTTCCACCCAACCGGCGCCGCAGGTACCGGGTTGACCAGAATCATGGCCGTAGGTAGTGATTCTGATGTCATAGAGTAGACTTTGAGTCATGGCCGTAGGTAGTGACTCTAAGTCCTAAGATAAGAATGTGGATAATGAGTAATTGGCCTTAGCCTAGAATAGGTTATGAGCTAGTGTTGGATATGAGTTAATGTAATGACCTGAATGTTGACTTGTGCAGATGAAGAATAAAGGTAAGTGATCTAAAGTATGTTGTTATAATATAGTTGTTTTATCTGATAATTGTTATATGATATAATTACTTTTGAACTTGTGTGCATGATATTGTATGGAATTATGAGCTAGTGGGTTCGTCTATGTGCGTAGTCGAAACGTTAGATAGTTCCACTCAGCTTCAATGCTGAGCGTGTAGCCCTTTTTCCTATTTGCTACACGTAGGTAACAGGAACGATGAATAATGAGACGGTCTTGGAGGCAGTGAGGGCGAAGAGATGGATGGATGCTAGCTGGAGGAGTTTATTATTTAATAGTCAAGTTTGAATTGTTATATTTTTAAGGCTTCCGCACCGTTTTGATTTACTCTGATGGATAATTATATGTTGTTTTGAATTAAATGTTTTAAATTGTTTTGAAAATTATTGTGTCTGAATGCAAATTTAGTAGCAACCCGATCCGATGGTCCTTGTATTCGGGTCACGCAGGGAGGGGTGTTACATAATGGTGATGGGTTTAAGCTATTTTATAAGGTGTTGCACTCTTTCCTTGAAAAGATATCTCTCAGTCATAAAGGGATGACCACTAATAGCGAAGAGATCCCACAATCCGCCTGCATCCAGAACGCCTCTTCTTTAGGTGAAGCTTTAGCTACCACAACCATTGTCTCTCTTGACGCAGAAGTCTTGGATTTAAAGGTGGATGAGGTAATAGAAGCCTCAACATCTGAACTTGGTTCATCACCTCAACAATCACAACTCCACTCGAGCACAAAGGTTATGTCTAAAGGCAAAGGTGGATCAGGGACTTCTCTTCAGCTTCCTTGATTGAAACCACTCTAGCAAACACACAGATGACTATCTATGAGGGAGGAGAACAACCAAAAGTCTTCATCTCAAACAACTACATCGAATTATTTCCACCTCTCCTAAGAAGGAAGTTATCACCATTTGCCCTTGCATTTGTACCACTTTCAAACAACTATCCAAAAGAAATTTACTCAAACGTTCGTACCAAGCACGGGGTGCTTGTTTAAGACCGTAGAGCGCTTTCTTGAGTTTGAAGACATGGTCGGGAAACTCAAAGTCTTCAAACCCCGGGGGCTGGTCAACATACACTTCCTCTTGAATAAAACCATTGAGGAAGGCACTCTTAACATCCATTTGATAAAGTTTAAAATCCATAGACGAAGCAAAAGCAAGAAGTAAACGAATAGCTTCTAAGCGTGCTACAGGTGCATAAGTTTCTTCGAAATCAATGCCTTCTTCTTGATTGTAGCCTTTAGCTACGAGCCTAGCTTTGTTTCTAGTGATTATTCCATTTTCATCGAGTTTGTTACGGAACACCCATTTCGTACCGTTAACCGTACGATCATCGGGTCTTGGCACCAATTCCCAAACGTCATTCCGTTTGAATTGGTTTAGCTCCTCTTGCATAGCCAAGGTCCAATGTTCATCGTTTATTGCTTCGGAAATGGTTGTAGGTTCAATTTGAGANTTGCTTCTTCTTCTTCTTCGTGTTCCGCTTGTTCTTCTTCTTCCTCTTGTCTTTCTTCATCACCTTGGTTAGCTTCTTGAGGTATTTCCTCAGTTTGTGGCTGTGTGTTGGTGTAAATTCCCGTGTTCTCCTCATCGTCATCAACGTGTATTCTCTCTAATGAATCTGCAAGATCATCACAAATATCCTTTCTCGCCAAGCGAGGGTTATCTTCGGAAAATACAATGTGAGGAGACTCCTCAATAGTCAAGGTACATTTATTGAAGACTCTATAGGCCTTGCTACGTAAAGAGTAACCCAGAAAAATTCCTTCATCCGACTTAGCATCAAATTTGCCTAAATTGTCTTTACCATTGTTATGAATAAAACATTTGCAACCAAAGACTCGAAGATGGGAAAGGTTTGGCTTTCTCCCTTTGTATAGTTCATAGGGCGTTTTCATGAGTATCGGTCGAATGACGGCTCGATTTAACACGTAGCTCGCGGTACTCACGGCATCCGCCCAAAAATACTTAGGTTATGTCTAGAGGCAAAGGTGGATTAGGGACTTCTCTTCAGCTTCCTTGATTGAAACCACTCCAGCAAACACACACATGACTATCTATGAGGGAGGAGAACAACCAAAAGTCTTCATCTCAAACAACTACATCGAATTATTTCCACCTCTCCTAAGAAGGAAGTTATCACCATTTGCCCTTGCATTTGTACCACTTTCAAACAACTCATTTGCTGCTCTGCTCAACCAGGATCATGGAGACATTGAGGAAGAGGATCCTTTTTCAAAGATTAATGAACGGAACCTGGTTCTATACTCTAATGCAGTGGAAGACCATGAAATGGATGTGCCCATTCTTTACACCCATTCTTAGGGGGAGGATCATATTTTCATTGATTCTAAGCTTAAACCACTACAAATAGACCTTTCAAGATGCCCCAAGCACCCCTTCCATCTGCGTAAGGCACTAAAGGGCAAAAGGACATACTCTCCATCTCAAATGGTTACTAGAAGCAAGGCTAAATTACAGGAAGAAGGGAGAAGAAACACACAATTGGCTGGGAAGAGGAAGATTATTTGAATGATCCATAGGAATCTCATGAAGAAGAGGTCATCAAATTCTTCAAGCTATGTTGTCCTAACAAATTTGATGAACCTAAACCTCTTAATAAGCCATTGAGCAAAAGTCAGAAGAAGAAACTAAAGAAGAAAAAGAACAAGCGGCAGGTTTCTGATGGTTATGAGGATGAGCCCTTTGATTTGGACTATGCTTATTGACCTTAGGTTTGCAGAATTTGGCTCTGCATTTAGGACGGATCCATAATATGAGTTTGTTTACAAGAGTCAATTTCACGGAGTTTGATCTCACGCGTTACATTTTGTTCTTTGTAGGCTTAAACTTGCAGGGATTGCTTGGTATTCACTCTTGAGGTTCCATTAGGAGGTTTGACTTTGGGGTTTTATTTTTTGTTAGCAGAGTTATTACTCTCTGCTTTCTTATGTTCAGCTTTTAGCTCTTGTTTCAAGGTTGCTTTGTTTAAGAAGACCTTATTTCTCAAGGGACAATTTTGCACAGAACTCTTCCCCAACAGATTGGAGTTAGCCTCCCCATTTCACTTGGATGGCTCAATTGCATAGAAGGACCCACAACCTCATATCTTTAACTTTTGGATACCTTCCAGTGACTGCTAATTGCTACAACTTTACTTGGGTGGCCCTCTTCCTGGATTTTTTTCCTTTCATTATTGTACTTTCTAGCTAGCTACTAGCTCTTGTTTTCCATTTGTTTGGTTCATTTTGTTTTCTTTTACTTTGGCCTTGGTGTAGGGGCCAGTTTGGCCATCCCCATCCTGTACCCTCTTTTATATATATATATATATATATATATATATATATATATATATATATATATATATATATATATATATATATCTTTCTCTATTATATAAATGTGAAAGAGGGTTTGGTACCCCTTAATATTATGCACCTTTTCCATCCAAAAATACATGTACCATTAGCTTTAAAACTTGCACCATGCAATTTATACCCCAAATGCCCCTAACACCGTTAGTTTTCTTTAATCCATTCATTCTTTAATTCACAATTATAGAGATGCTTTATAGCCTATACACCACAATAGTAGAGTATTATTATTATTATTAGAAAAATTATTAAAAGTAATCCAACTTTATCTGGTCTTTCAAAAATAATCTCGCATTTTATTATGATGCATAATAATTTTAACTCTACTAAAGTTTGTGCGTTTTGGGTTGGCATTAAGTTGCAAACAACGGGTAACGGAAACAACATTTTTTGTGTAACGAATGGAAGCTGGGATTATTTTTTTTATAATTTTTAAATTTTTCTTTTTGAAATTTTCATTTAAATTTTAAAAACTACATTCTACATCCTCTTCTCTTTCTTTTTTAATAGATTAGTCTTACTTTAGAAAAATAAAAAAAGATATACAAAATAACGAAAATAAGAAAAATAACTCAGACCATACAAAAATAATGAAATAAAAAGGTAAAAAACAAAATATAAGTACTACTACTTCTTTTTTGAAAGAACAGATAACTTGGGATTATTCTATATAATTTCTCCTAAAAATAAGAAGAAGTTGTACATTAATAACATGTATTGTGCGTAAAATGTTAAAATCCACCACTCCATATATTTTTAATTTATTTCTTACCAGTTTCAAGTAAATTTCTATTGATTATCTTATCTAATTTTTTTAATTTTGTATAGTATTAGCAATTTTAATCATTTTCGTTATTTTTTATCTATTTTTTTTATCCAAAATTAAACTAATCTTTAGAAAAGGAAAAAGAAAGGATGGAGGTAGACAATTATTTTAAAACTTAAAATGAAAATTCAAAAAAAAAACAAGAGGACACAATGATTGTTATTATAATTCTGAATTAACTCCGATCCCAATATGCCACAAGTAGAGTATAATTATTATAATAAATGCTAATAATTCTAAATTAACCCCAATATATGATCTAATGACATTCTCCAGACACATCAAGCACCTACTCTGGTGTAAAGAATGCTATTAGCAAAAACAATGACTGTTTAATTTTGTCTCCTGCAACTTTCAGCTATGTATCGACCGTTTACCTTTTTTTTTTATTTCATATTACAGAGATATTGAAATGATATAAAACTATGATAAAGTTATACTTGTACCTATTTCAAATTTGAGTCTCGTCTTAATCTCTTAAAAAATAGTCATCACTAGCAATTTAAAAATTTGTAAGATCATCTAAAGAATTTCACAAAGTTCATTACACACCTTTTAACTCATAACTCGATGTGATTTGGATGTTATACTTATTTTACTTTCTTCACTTCTAGCTTGAGGATTATATCGATTTGTTTCAGGTATTGGCGGTGACCTTTAACAATGTCGTGTTATTAATTTTTTTTGATATTTATAAACCTCATATTACTTCGTTATATATATATATATATATATATATATATATATATATATATATATATATATATATATATATATATATATATATATATATATATATATATATATATATATATATATATATATATATATATATATATATATATATATATATATATATATATATATATATATATATATATATATATATATATATATATATCTTTTTCTATTATATAAATGTGAAAGAGGGTTTGGTACGCCTTAATATTATGCACCTTTTCCATCCAAAAATACATGTACCATTAGATTTAAAACTTGTACCATGCAATTTATACCCCAAATGCCCCTAACACTGTTAGTTATCTTCAATCCCTTCATTCTTTAATTCACAATTATAGAGATGCTTTATAGCCTATACACCACAATAGTAGAGTATTATTATTATTATTAGAAAAATTATTCAAAGTAATCCAACTTTATCTGGTCTTTCAAAAATAATCTCGTATTTTATTATGATGCATAATAATTTTAACTCTACTAAAGTTTGTGTGTTTTGGGTTGGCGTTAAGTTGCAAACAACGGGTAACGGAAACAACATTTTTTATGTAACGAATGGAAGCTGGGATTATTTTTTTATAATTTTTAAATTTTTATTTTTGAAATTTCCATTTAAATTTTAAAAACTACATTCTACATCCTCTTCTCTTTCTTTTTTAATAGATTAGTCTTACTTTAGAAAAATAAAAAAAGATATACAAAATAACGAAAATAAGAAAAATAACTCAGACCATACAAAAATAATGAAATAAAAAGGTAAAAAACTAAATATAAGTACTACTACTTATTTTTTGAAAAAACAGATAAACTTGGAATTATTCTATATAATTTCTCCTAAAAATAAGAAGAAGTTGTACATTAATAACATGTATTGTGCGTAAAATGTTAAAATCCACCACTCCATATATTTTGAATTTATTTCTTACTAGTTTCAAGTAAATTTCTATTGATTATCTTATCTAATTTTTTTAATTTTGTATAGTATTAGCAATTTTAATCATTTTCGTTATTTTTTATCTAATTTTTTTTTATCCAAAATTAAACTAATCTTTAGAAAAGGAAAAAGAAAGGATGGAGGTAGACAATTATTTTAAAACTTAAAATGAAAATTCAAAAAAAAACAAGAGGACACAATGATTGTTATTATAATTCTGAATTAACTCCGATCCCAATATGCCACACACACACACACAGATATATATATGTGTGTGTGTGTATATATATATATATATATATATATATATATATATATATATATATATATATATATATATATATATATATATATATATAGAATTTGGATCATATGAGAATAGGACCTAGTGAAAGAAATAAGAATAAACATGCACCGTCCGATCTTCCCCATTTTATATCTTGGATCTGTATTGCCGATTAATGTATAGGGACACGATTGTATTTTCCTAATTTTATCGGTTAACCACTCAATCGCATCTATCGCTCTGTTCCGCAGACTTCGCCCACATCCCCTGATTCCTTTCGATCATCCAATTTACGTTACTTGATCACCATAATCTATCATCTCATGGAAAAAATTATTAATCGCAAGAAAGGAGGAACACAATCCATCAACCATTGTCCATCGGAAGTTGAAGTGCCATTGAAATGGACACAGGTACTATCTAATTATCACTTTGTTTCTTTCGAGTTCCATTTTCCAGTTATTTGCAGCATCCTCACAATTTCCATTTCCAGTCATTTCCATTTCCTTTATCCTTTTAAACGGATTTAGAGTGCAACAACAATAGTGTGATGAAACAGGGAATGTGACATGTTTTTGGTAGCATTCATCCATTTTTTTTGCTGTAAAAAGTGATTTCTTTAGTAATATCTATACTTGTTTAAGTGTTTATACTTTATCTTTTGTTCCTCCATCACATCTGATGATGTCTCATTATCACCTTTTTAGCCGAAAATGCAAGCACGAATGCCCACACAACCTCAAATGATGCGTCTTTTACGTCTCCCAATACCGACCAAATGCCTCACCCGGATTCTAATTTCTTCATCCCGCCATGCCCATCAGAATGTAAGCCAAGAGTGGGAATGGTTTTTCAGAAACTGGAAGACGGGATTTTGTTCTATAAGGAATACGCAGCACTTGCAGGGTTTGATATCCGTATGAGCACCACGACAACATCTTCAGACGGTGTTAAGGTATGGAAGTATATTCTGTGTAGTCGTGAAGGTCATAAACATTTTGCGCCTGGTGCGAAGTTAGCGCATAAACAGGTTGAAGCCTCCCAGAATGGCAGGAAAACAAAACGTCGACGCATATCCAACCGCACAGGTTGTCGTGCGCGTGTAATCTTTAGGCTTTGCGGGACTTCTGGTTACACCATAACCCTATTTGAAGAACGCCACAATCATCCTATGCTATCAATAATGCCCAGGCCTTTCTTGAAAATCAACCGGAATATTGATATTGGTCATAAAAAATTTATGCTTAATTGCGCTAAAGCAAATATTGGGACAATGAAATCATTCCGTTTGTTTAAAGAGTCAGTTGGAAGTTACAACAATATAGGAGCAACATCAATTGATTTCAAGAACTTCAAAAGAGACCTAAAGGCATATGTTGCTGGCGGGGATGCCCAAATGATCATTGAGATAAACTGTTCCGAAGACAAGAAACATGTCCTGCTTTCCGTTTTGCGTACGATGTTGACGAAAGTGACCAGCTAATACGATTATTCTGGTGTGATCCAGTTGCAAGGAGAAACTGGGCTATGTTTGGTGATGTTCTCTCCTTTGATGCCACGTATGAGACAAACAGGTAATCGTATTTTCAATACATTATATTCCTTTCCTCGTTTTCATATATGTCTACTGTGGTTCTCATTTATGATGTTTTTTTCTTTTATAATCATAGGTACAACATGGTGTTCACACCTTTCACGGGAGTGGATAATCACCAGAAATGCGTGACGTTCGGGGCTGGTCTACTTCGCACCGAAGACATAGAATCTTACACCTGGGTGTTCCGCCAATTTCAAGATGCAATGGATCACGACCCCAAATGCATCATAACAGATCAAGACCCATCCTTGCATACAGCTGTCAGTGAGGTATTCCCACATACTACCCATCGCTATTGTATGTGGCATATCACTAAAAAATTAGGAGGCAAAGTTGGAGAACCTCTAAATAAGGATACCAATTTCTTGACTAGATTCAATGAAGTTGTTTGGAGCCATTATCTCGATTCGGTTGAGTTTGAGAATCAGTGGCACGAGGTCATGAATGATTATGATTTGGTCAGCCATAAATGGTTCATCAAGTTATTTGAAATTCGAACATCTTGGATCCCAGCATATTTTAGAGATTTATTTATGGCTGGTTTATTGAGAACGACTTCACGTTCCGAGAGTGAGAATAGCTTCTTCGGGGAGTTCTCTAACCAAAATTTTAGTCTTGTAGAGTTTTTGATGCAATTCGAAAGTGCTATGGATGCGCAACGCCACAGGAATGCCTTACTGAACGCTGAAACTGAGTCTTGCACACCAGTATTCAAAACCCCTTTGGCTATTGAGAGGCATGCTGCTTCCATATACACACTGACTGTGTTTTATAATGTTCAGAAAGAGATTTGTGCTGCATGTTTTTCTTGTTCTGTCGTACACGTAGATGACGTTGAGGATAAAGTTCAATATACTATCAAGGACATGAGAGGTATGTTGTTCATTNACGGGCTGTGCATCTTGTTCCTGCAAGCATTACCAGCGTATTGGGCTCCTATGTAGGCATATATTTGTTGTGCTTCAAGCTATGGGCTGCCATAACATTCCAGAGTTGTACGTTTCCAAAAGATGGTGTAAGAATGACATTGTGTATCGTTCCGTTGGTACAACTACAGCTGATTATGAAAAGGATTACATACGAGAAAACACGAAATGGAGTATCAATAAATTATGGTCTGACATCCACGCATGCGTGGCGCTTGTTGAGCATGACTCCGATTTGCTGGGATCATTTTCTGAGGTTATTAGAGCACAAAAGACAAAGCTGCAAGGATTGTCTGTTTCTGATGAATTACAGGGTACAAAAAACAAGATGTTTGAATCTTTCTATGGCATAGCCTCCCCTTCTGAGGTCCGTGTATTACCCCCCGAAAAGGTGCATAACAAGGGAAGTGGTAAGCGAATCAAAAGTGTAAAGGAATTAGCCATCGAACAATCCAAGAAACATAAGAGACTTTGCCGAACTTGCAATCAAACAGGCTTCCACGATATTCGAAACTGCCCGCTTAATAAATCAACATCATGATTTTGTAATATTTACAATAAACTACTATTTTTAGCCTCTACACATCTCTATTTCCTTATGCTTTTTGTTAGTGTCATTGATTTAATTTTCAAGGTGAATATCCTAGACAATTTCTTTGCATACACTTCTTATTATTGTTCATTTCTCTAGTTTATGTTACCGTTTAAATAATGCCTAAACTGTTTTCAACCATTTAAATAAAATGAAACGACCTGATACGGTGTAATGCACAAAACGGCATGCATTATGCAGTACACACCTCTAGGCAGTGCATCGTGTAACACTGTACATACAACTACTTATATGCTCTAGTCTATCACAAAACACTTGGACCACACACCATATGCACCACACATCATGTCCTCGAGGAGTAACTCTTAAAAAGTCTCGACCCATTCGTATGGGTCAGGCTCTTCCTCATCCACTACCTCTTCGACACTGCTTAGGTCACCGGTCAGGTCCAACCATGACTGGTCAGGCCAGCCCATCTGGGGCCGTGATGATTTCCGAACCATTACCCCCAAATAAAATGCACAGTCAATTTGACTCGAGACTAGTGTTTCGGATGACTGGGTGGCATTGTTGGAAGAGGTCGGCTACCATGTTATGACCCTCGGGGCATTGTTTATTTCTCTAATTCACATTACCGTTTAAATACTGCCTAAAATGTTTTCAACCATTTTAATAAAACCAAACGAGCTGGTACGTTGTAATGCACAAAACGGCTTGCATTATGCATTACATACCTCTAGGCAATGCATCATGTAACACTGTACATAGAAAGAAACTCAAATATGCTCTAGTGTATAAAAAACCACCTGTTGCAGATTCACCATGTTTGGACAAACTAACTTATCATCTATTACTAAGTGTATCAGACTCACCACGTTTAGAATATCACATGTACATGATCATTATATCATTGTCACGATCCTCTATACGTATTGTACCCAATCAGGTGGGTGTAAGTTTTTCTATTAATGCGGCACAAAAGCATCAGAACACATTATGCCACTTAAGTAATGCAACTATTCGAGTTTCTTTGTATGCAAGTAAAAACCAACAACTCTACTAAATTGTTTTCAATGTTAGTGAAAAAAGTTGGATGATTATAAAATTAATATTTAAACATAAGTCCAAACCAACAAGTCAACAGACACCATTGAAATCCAAGTTGCAAAAAACCATAACCAAAAAGAAAACCAGTTAATTGGGTAACACCCAAACACCGCTTAGCCCAAAAATAATAGCATCTCTAAATAATAAAAATGTCAGGAGTACTTATAAATAGGAAATGCATAGTTTCCATGCCATAACAGACTCTCATGCCCGGCTACATTCCTTGACCCTCTTCAAGATCACATCTTTTAACTCATTAACATCTGACTCCACAATCGCAGCACAATATTTGCTCCTCAGTGCATTTATCGGTTTTTGATCACCCCTTGTCAAACCACATTCCCATTTCCTCAAAGATTGACCCATGTAGGTCTCCATATGCCTCATGGTTGTAACCCCATAATCATGGATCGTCTTTGCATCTCTCCACGGCATTTCCAAACGGCGTGCAGCTTGGCCCTTAAGCCTCAAAACCTTCGCACCAAGGCCTTTCTCGTCGAAGAAACGCATAACCATGTCTCCCTGCAACACAAATATAACAACATGCTTATATTCAAGGAAGAACCCGCATATACCATTATTAAAACAACCCAAAAATCCAATCTAATCACTCTTACAATGTCCTTGGGCATTCCATCATATTTATCATCAAATGATACATTCTCAGAGGAGCTGTCCAAGATCTCAAATCGGTTACTCTTTAGGTTCACGCATAAGCAATAACACCACTTTTGTTGTAGTACTGGAAAGAAAATCTGCATGCGCAACATATTTCAAACATATATTCACTTTTTCAAATTTCAGACATGAGCACTTATACTTTGCATTTCCAATAACTAACCGTGACTCACCAAGTCCACATTACAGGGAGAAGTTGAGCTCCAACCATACTCGATAACATCACAAAACAATTTATATGCAACATCTGCTTCATACGCATTACCCTCGTGCGTATATGGCTGCAACAGAATTCATGTTCACTGAAGATGTCATATTAAGACCAAATGGTATGAAAAAAAACCAACTTCTAATGAAAACAAACACATACACATCGTAGTGACTTTGCAAAGAAGCGAGCAGGTGACGTAGTGCTACGAAACAGTTCGTTCTTATTTAAAATGCACGACCATGCATCCAACACATTCGCAGAAATGTGCTCACCAACCCCCAACGTCATCATCTGACCACGGTCAACAAATATATTGTAGCCCTTAAAGACAATTTCATCTCTGCACATTAATTTCTCACTCAATCAAAATCAAACAGATAAAGCACAATCTGAGTCTATCTTACTGATCCAAAAAAAATGCTATACCTATCACCTCTTGGATTACTCATAACCCATTTCCAAATGTTTTTCTCTTTGGTGTTAGCGTTCTCTTTCGGGTCAATTATGCGCATCATATAAGGTGACTTCAACGTTAGTGTTGCTCGTTGTTTTCTTCTAGTCCTCCTTCCTTCTTGGGTCTGCAAAATCTTCATTACCAAATCTGTATAAGTAAAGGCTTGAAGCAGATCCGTGTACTACTAAATGCAACGCCTAATGTATCATACCTCCTCGCTTTTCCTTTTCATGCCTCCCACATCTTCATTCGCATCATTCTCATCCTGTAAGAGGTTTCCCAACATTGTTATTAAAGTGTATGATAGTATGAATACGATACAAATTGGGTACAATACTCAATCATAGGCGTGGCATTTTTCAGAAAAATACAAACAACGTGACACATACCTGTTTGCTATTGTTAAAAGGATTTGATTTCCCTCCCTCAGCACTCCCTACAACTGCCGCTTCACAAACCCGTAATGGCGTCACCTCAGTATTCAGACTCCCCACAACTATCTTTTCCCCAGCATGTTCGATGGATGTTGCGCCACATCCATCACCCTCATACTCCTGTGTCATTCCTAAGCTAAAAGAAGGCATATCACTTACCACCTCATGATATTTGGCTCGCACCTGTGCTGCCTTCTCAGCTAAATCAACAGCAGCTATGACCTCTGGGCTGCTCCAAATTGGATCGTCATCCAAGAGCTGGCTCTGAGGTTCCACACTACATGTTTTATCTGCACCATCCTTCTCAACATGTATCCCAATTAACTTACCCCACACAGAGAAAGAAGAGGCAGAACTGGAGAGCAAATTGCAAATTTCGGTGGTTGGGAGATTCAACAAAGCTATACATCTATCAATTCTCAAGAAATTCCTCCTAAACTTGGGGTTTGGGCCGTTCAGAATTAGAAGAATCAACGCAAGGGACAACTTATTTACTTTCAGGGAAGAAGAAGATTACATCAGATTCTTACAAAAGAGAAAGTGGTATGTATACGATAGGTCCTTCTATGTTTTTAAATGGACTAGGGACTACAGCCCCAAGTCAGAATCCCCAATATTCCCTGTTTGGGTTACTCTGGATATGCTGCCCCTTCACCTCATTGACTACCAGGCCCTTTTCTCCATAGCTACTCTATTGGGTAGACCTGTTAAAGTAGATGATTACACAATTAATAGGGATAGAAGGGAGGGAGCCAGAA